TATACAACTCAGCACAAAAGTTAGAATCATACAAGCCATCATATTCCTCATTACCATGTGTGGATGTGAGAGCTGGATAGTTAAGAAAGATGATAGGAAGAAAATCAATTCTTTTGAGATTTGATGCTGGAGAAGAGTGTTGAGGATCCCTTGGCCAAGCAAAAAGACAAACAAATGGGTCCTAGAACAGATCAAGCCGGAAAACTCCCTGGAAGCCAAGATGACCAAACTGAGGCTGTCGTACTTCAGATACATCATGAGAAGGGAGGACTCATTGAAAAAGAAAGTAAGAAAGGTGGAGGGAAGAAGGAAGACAGGAAGGCCACATGCAGATGGATGACTTTATTAAGGAGGTCATGAGTATGGGTTTACAGGATTTAAGCAGAGCAGTGGAGGACAGGGGGTCTTGAAGATGTCTCATCCATAGGGTCACCATGAGTCGAGATTGACTCAAGGGCAGTTAACAATAACAACAGACACACCCTGCTGTGTTGGAAAACTAGAGAACCAGAAAGGTTTAGCCATGCAAGTATGCCACCTAGAATATAAAGAGGTACAGAGTCAATGGTAAATATAACTTCTACAGGGAAATATGTGAATTATTAAAGAGATAATGTTTCATCTTTCAGTGTTAGCTTAATGCTTGTACATATCTTTGAGTGCCATGGAAATTTTTGGATATCTCATTGAAAAGGCTTTGAGGAAACAGATTTAAAGATGGCAACAACCTTCTGTCCTTTGCTATATTTTCTTCCATGCATGCTGCTTCTTACTTTAATTAAACAATAGCAATGAACTATAAAACAATGGCAAGATGGGAATAAATATATGCTAAGAGATGCATCAATACATTACACAGTATATTAATATTTTATTGAGGTTTATAGTTAGTGTATATCAATACAGGGAACATGGCCATAACAACAAAAACCCAAACTAAAGGAGAGGTGCTGGTGATGTAGGTAAATGCTAATAGGCTTTGTTCATTTTCAATATGCAGAGGTTAAACAATGTACATTTACAATGATGTAAAATGTAACTATGTACAGCTCAACTTCAATTTTGAAGTAGACCAAAAAGACAGTGAGGTTTTAGAAGTGGTAATGGAGAGGCCCAGGTTAGGGCTTGGAAAAGGGACAACAGCTACAACTCTTGCAGCTAGCAACCTAATTTGGTATATAAAGCACACACACACACACACACACACACACACACACACACACACACACACACACACCCTGATAGCTGTCTCCATCCCTGGTAGTAAAAATACAAAAATAAATAAGTCAATAGCAAACAATTTTAGCAAAATCAATAACTATTTGCTGCCCTTCCATTGTACTACAGATCTACTGCCTGAGGATTCCATTCCTTTTCCCCTAATAATATGGCCAACCCTACGCATGATCACTATTAAGAATTTCCTAGTGAAATTCCTGATGAGCCATGGAGGCTGGTGCTTTCAAGGCCTGATGAATTTGCTCTGGGTTTTAATGTGAAATTTGAAGGACCAATCCAAGGAGCAGAGGTGCATCCCCCAAATGGGTTCAACACGTTGGATAGTTTCCCTAGAGTAAAGTGGGCCCAAAGTGGATTTACTGCCCTACTAATACTGGAGCCACTGGCTTCCACAGATGGTGACAGAACCTGGAATCCTGCATTGGGAGACATATATGTATGATTACCTATGTTTCTATAGCCATGTATCTTGATGGTGCCCCTAACCCACCTTGTAAGCAGCACAGGACCTTCCAACATGGATATTGTCATACTGTTGGAGAAAAGGAGAATGAATGGGGAAATGTAAAGAAAACATTTTCTGAACCTGCATGTGCTGAAAGCTGTCACCTGCAGGGATGTGTTGAGCCCCTCTGGAGTTTCTTGAGGATGTATGTCAGAATGCACTCAGCTACATTCCTGCTGATCCCCCTGCCCAGCAACAACAAAAGGGCCATGTTAGGTGGGCAGCTCTAATTATAAGGTGGGTTGGGAACATTGGTCATTGTGGTGCTGGATTAGGGTTCTGATTTTTGCAACAACCAAAACTGTGAATTGCAATGGTGTAAGTCAGATGTAACTACCATCATTCATCAATGAGATTCTAGCTGGTAATGTAATTGGGCCAGAAAGCAAGTAGCTGTATGTTCTAGATTTTTAGGAAGACATCTCCAGAGTACAATTTCTCCTTCTGCTTAGATATCTTTTTGTTGTTGTTTTGGGGTAAGAGAATCAGCATGAGATAGGATTGCAATATATTGTACCTCAAAAATTTAGTTAACCCCCAAATATGGTAGCTTTGTAATCTATTAGTAGCACCACAACACTAACATGTAGAGCTATATGTGCTGGGTAAGGTGCAGATAGGAAATGAATAGACATCAAGGCAGAACCTGATGCTCAGAAAGTTCATAAAATTTTGTCTGCTTCTGAAAGAATGACAGACAAGTGATTAATTTAGATAGGAAAGAAAAACCAGTTCTTGAAGATGTACTGATACACTTAGAAGTCTGGAATTAAAAACAGGTTGGTTTTTTGTGTGTGAAAAGAATCCATTTCGGTATCTCTTCTCCCCCCCTTCATCTCTCATATCAGAGATGAGTTGATTGTTTTCGAGGAGGTATGACCTTTAAGAAGTGTGTGTGTGTGCATGTGTGTGCGCACAGCATAGTTACACCAGTGGTGCTGAAGATGAATTTGAAGCAAATTAATTCTGTATGCCGTCAGGGATTGGAGGTTGTCTAGAAGGGCACAGAGATGTATTTCCTGTCTGGGAAAAGAAAGGAGAGTTTGGGGAATTCAAGATGCCTTGTGACATAT